TGTGTTATCCATATCGGCCGTTCGATATGGCTCTTGGATTTGTCCTACTTGGCAGCGGACTAAGCACGTGAATTGGTAGTGGTGAAGACAGTCGCGTAAAATATCACCATAGGGGAAGCGGTTATCCCTCGAACCACCTGCGTTTCTTTGTACTAATGGCAGGGATCCTCCGCCTTGGCTGTATGCCATACATTTATATTCACATTCCTACGTTTCAGTGCACTCAACGTCTCGGAGTCCCCTCCCCTCTTTTTTTTTTTTTTTTTTTTTTCAACTGGAATCCCGGGTCTATATAAAGCCCCTTCCATCTTCGTTCAGATTCTCAGTTTCTGTATTCCTTCTCTTCTCCAGGCTCACCATATATATCAAAATGTTCTACTAATGATCTTGCGACCACTATGACCGACATATGCCTTCAGGTCGTTTTCACTATATAGTAGGTTCCTCCATGGCAAGATCACTATCATTGTTCCCTATGAGAAAAGAGGAATTTGACTTCCCTGAGCTCGTTGGCTTCCCAAGCTCACCTGACCATAGACTGCCCGCAGGTGCGCATGCTCATCATCAATCCGAAGTCGTCTGGGCACCTCCTCCACGTCCCGTAGACGATCTATATACCGCTCCACCATGGTGGATAACTAAACGCAGATAAAGACTCTACGTTCACATTCGGTCACTCGTCCCTGGGCCACCGGGAACCGGAAAGATGAACATTTCAGCTTGAGTCGCCGAATTGTGCCATTTGGGCAATATGTTCTTCGGCATATGATGACAAGACTACTGCTGCAAGATTCGAATGCCTTGACAGCAGTACGGATCCAGGATAATTGTGGATCTCCTGATTTCTTGCTTGATACAGATGAGGAGAGTATGAAGTACTTCCATGCTCTGAGATGGCTAGGGAAACCAGTGGTGAATATCCCGTCTGTTAGAGTTTGCCAGTGGCATACAGATCTACAGACATCTATTGTGGAATGCAGGCAAGGATTTGTGCGACATGCTAATGCTGTTGTGGCTCTGATTACGGAGTGACCCTTAACGCGGTTCACATCTAGATTGCTACATTATATTGTCTATATCAGCTAACATATCACACACAAAAGCGGGAGACATATATCACGGATGAGACTCATCACTGCGTATAGCAACTAAAGGTATTGTACGATAGACCTGAAAGGAATTGAATTCTTGATTTCAAGTACATATCGTTGCCGACGAGGTATTCGCCCACGGGAAATTTTCTATGACTATGTCCGCTCTTTCCTCCACAGCCTCTTGAAAAACTTGGTTGGCGATGCTACGATGGAGAAACCCATATATCGAAGTATCTCACCATGAACATGCCACAATGTCCATTCCATATCGGCCAGTGAACAAGGTTCTCAGAGCGTTCAACATGTCATCTCCGCATGAATGCTTTCCTGATGCAGAGAAATGAACAGTCTTCCACCGGCCCCGACAATCCTGCACCAAATCGTGCGTTCGGTATGTGTCGACCTTAGAGAACTCCAACAGGCCATCTTGCGAGATTGCCGTCTCTACGCCCTTGCTTTCGTCATGTGGTGGGCCGCAAGAAATACCATCCATATCGATAAATTGCCCGTTATTGGCGAGTGGTTTCGTCAATATAACGACAGGGAGAACCCGCCATGTGAATCGATGGTACGGGAGCAGACGATGTTACTGTTCATTGGATCCATGGTGTCACACTACAATGGTAGATACCGGCACTTTATCCTGCAGCAAGCGAGAGGACAGTGTTAAATATTTCGGTCTTTTCGCTGAGGCAATGCATGCCTGCATTCCTGGAACCTGTCAATTTCTTAATGAAACCCGGGTATATCAATGCCCATTCGGCAACCCAGCAAAGATCTCCAAGCAACTACCCAGCTTCTAACACACACCTTCTCCATTTTGGTTAGATATCCAGGCACAGGCAAAACACGAACAATTGCAGCTACCACAATATCACAATATTCGTCACGCAGGTCCGCCGTGGGTTGATAGGAAAGGCCATTGGCCGTCCAAGTCCTGACCCACGTGCAAAGGTACCTGTTCACACTGTTTTTGGACCAAATCGCTAAAGTATTCCCCATCCGCAGTGGAGACAAGTACCGATGATCTCCTCAAAATTACGCAAGAAGATATTACAGAGTTGCGCTAATAGGAGAAGTGGCTAGATTTTAAACTTTTCCAGTCAGATAATTATAAAGAGAGATATTATCACCCAGAATTAACGTTTCTAAGCTTCGGAAACGAGGGGGGGCAACCTGCAAGCTACAGCCTGTGACGGCATGCCGGTTACCTCAATGTGCTCTGTCTAGGGGTGGTGTCCCCCAGCTGGCGTCGGTATAACGCTAAACTAAAGGGTCACCTTTTCAAACATACAGCCATGATGGCTGTAAAACGTACGTATCTAAGGTTTCATGGGGGACACAGTATAGAGCTACCATTTCATCTCGATGGAGAAGTCAAGGAAGAAGTCGGGAGAAAGAAGATATACGAAGTAATGGCAGGCTGAAAGGAAAAGCACCCTAGAATATGTCAGCAGAGTCAAGAGAGGCATGATAAACGGCGCCGGGAACGTCAACCAATGCCAAAGCAAGAGATTGTTCCCATGTCCAACAAATAGAACAGGCCGTGGCGGTCCAAGCTAGAAAGGCAGCGATGTTAGTGGCTGAAATAGCTACACCCAGTGCTCGTGGAATCGAGCAGCAAGGGGGTACGGGCAGCAAAATGAGCTAAGATTGAGAAGGTGCGTGTTTCACCTTGCGATACCAGCACGGGATGGGCTTCATTATAACAGATCATAACCCATTGCACTGCGTAGTATTTTGGTGCTAAAGAATGACGAAGTCTGTCCATGTGCTCTTTCGCAGGATAAACATGCCACGATCTTGTGTCGTACCTGCTGTGCTCAATTGCCGCCCTGCATTTACTGCACCTGGAGCCGAAAGTTCCACTGTGATGCACAGTTCCTCTCGCAAGAAAAGAATAGAGACATGTCCCTACATCAATCATGAGAATGGCCTGTTGACGAGCAATATCCGATGGGATACACTGACCTGAAATGTTGTCCGAGGGTTAGTACGGCGGCAAAGGGAAATTCTGCTTACATTGCAACAAGCTGGGCAAGCGGGCCATTTCCAAATTGCCGCTTAGACATAGAGATGCCGCTACGCTTTGATCTCCAGACAGTGGGAGACGCTATGGCGCGTCCCAAGACTCTTAGTGTCGCTACGAGCGCCGTGGGAACTCTTGATAGAAAGAGACTCCAGAACTCGTTTCGCCCAGCAGCCAGATACTTATATTTTCATTGTTGCGTGCGCAGCATAGCACAGATAAGTTAAAACCATAATCGCTTGTACGAACAACCTAGCCGGGACAGGCCTACTGGGGAGAAATCTCATTCGAAAGAACGGAAGCCATATCTGGAACTGTCACAATACATTATTTTGTCTCCACCTAGGTCTTGGGCCAAGCAGCTATTTGAAGAAATTCACTCGCGATCATCCCAGTATTTTCTCCGAACAATGCCCAGAATGCTATGGCTACCATGCTAAAGACTGATGGAGTCTCCGCTACCAAGAGTTGCCTACTCTGACAAGTACCATACCTCCGATTATATTTATCCACTTCACTCTAGGAATGAGGGATAAATTCGCGAGCGAAACCAAAGTGTGGACTGATCACGGGTCAGCCCTTATACCCGGACGTATGAAGTGGTGGCGTATCCACGATCCAGAGAAGCTGTTTCTTCATCCAAGGATCAAGGATGGATTCGACCTGTATGATCACTACTGGCGAGTTCCTGTGGGAGACGCCAACTTTGGGTCATTTCGTAATATGTATCACAATGTTGGCCATTAGTTTAGACAAATGAACCTGAGATAGTATATGTCGTATGTGGCTATGGGTAGACCATTGCTTGAAAGCTCATATCATTCCATATTATCCGAGGTATGTCATGACACATCGATATGAGCCCATAACAGACGTGACCCACCGAGGTCAAGAACTATTCTATGTTGCTTTTGTAAGATTCATACTAGACAATAAGTTCCTTTCGCCTAGCGATAAATGGACCATTACATGCGAGCATAGGGTGGATTATAATGAGTATGTACTGATGGTATTGTCGCCGCATCACGTATGTATGAAGAACATGTGGAATATCTCTCTTCAGGAATTTCTCCACCAGAACCTGAATGTGAAGTTGAACTGATAAACATATTGAATAGCTTTCTATTTGGCTTACATTTCAACTTACATGGTATATATTCGACTAAGTTAGAGTAGTTAGATATTGAGCCCGAACGCGACCCGTCAACTGGCACAATAACTTCACCATTCTTTACTTTCCTCCGACCAGCCTGCCAGTGCAAGCAAGGGGCTGTATCAAATGAATCAAACTCTTCGACAATTCTCGAACAAACCGGGCTGTGTTTGAGGGAGAGGCTACGAAAGGAGTCTTATATGAAAGATGGGGTAATGGTAATGAGGGGAATCCAAAGCTTACGCTATGTGCAGATCCTTCCCCGGTGCACCTGCCTCTGGCAATTGGAACGATGAACTGCTCAACAGTTCGCGAGTTGCCCTTGGCGGTTACTGCTGATCACCACTGGAAAGAGCGAGCGGGGCAGCAGGGAGAGTTGAAGCATTGAGCAATTGGCCAGGAAAGTGAACCTTCAGAAAACAGCTCCCGGCGATCGGACCACTCGGCAAAGCGCCATTAACATGTCTCCGCCATGGATCCATCCAGTGACGGGCGAGACGTGGAGCTTCGCCAGATGAATGATCAACATCGAATAATTTCCCAGCCGCTTCAGCTGAACAGTTCATCACCAAGGGTGGAGAAACCCACCCACTCGGGCCCTCCGCTCGGCACCGACTATACATGCTGTCGCGAGTCATAGTTAATATTCGGGACACCCCTCACGGATCGATGGGTGGTCGACGTATCTCCAAATTGATCCGTTCAGGGCATTATCCTACCAAGAATGAGATTTTGTTGTAGCAAAGGCGACCGGCTCGACGGCGACGAGCAGCCGTCGCGTCCGGTGAGTGTCAGAAAGAGCCACGCAGAGACGAGCATCCCTCCAGCTAAGCCGAACACACCCCCGGCCAAACCAGACCTGTGGAAAGAGGCCTATGACGGTCTGAGTAAGGAACGCAAGGAGTACGTCTCAGTGGCTGGAACAAAGTCAACTACAGACGTCATCGACAATGTCATCAACCAGACCAAGGATAAATACAGCGAGTGGAAAAATGGTGGTCTTAAGATCCGACGAAAGGATGGTAACGACATCAATGTTCGTGATACTGCGGAAAGGATTCTAAACGCTGCCTTGCAGGCCAAGGACCTGATCGCCAATGTGGCCGCATTTGACCCGACTGGCAAGGGTAAGTCTTCCCCGTATCCGCGAAGAGATGAGACCGACACTCACCGTCCTCGTAGCATCGGCCGCATGGACTGTCGTGTCTTTTGGCCTGACAGTAAGTATCAGATAGACGTGCCTTCGGCTCTCCGATGCTAACGGCTGTAGATGGTCCAGAGCGACATCAAACGTCGGGACGCCGTCTTCGAGGCGTCAGAGTTTCTCGCCGAGACTCTCGCCTACTACACGCTGGTTGATGCCCACTATCGAGACCAAAAGGTTGCAGGGGGCCAGAACTTTGACCGTGCACTCGTTCGAGTCTATACGGCGATCTTGAACTATACTGCCGAAGTGAATAAAGTCCAAAACGAGAACGTCGGTAGTATGTTGTCCTACAGAGTCCACCCAAATCCATCGCTGACCACCTCTCAGCTCGTATTTACCATAGTATCCTTGCTATTTCCAGCGAGAACCTTGAGCAATTGAAAGGAACGGTTGAGGAGGAGCGTCTAGGCGCAGAGAAGTGGGCAAACTTCACTAACACCCTTCGTGAGTTGATCGTTTAGCATGGAGCGAAAAAGGCTGCTAATCGAAAGTAGGGAGCCGCGAGGCGGCTCAAGACACCCTCAATCTATTAGATGAGTCTATTGGCATATTGAAGAATGTCAACTCCAAAGTGTTGAGTAATTAGTGCCAGATCGAACGGAGCATAAACCATGCAGCGACTAACTGGCTACTCTAGGCGATGAAGAATACAAGGTCTTAGACTGGGTGTCAACTGCACCGTTCTCTGACGCGCAAACGAGAGCCCAAGGGAACCGGGCTCCCGACACGGGAAACTGGCTTCTTGAGATGAAAGAGTATAAAGATTGGAAAACATCGCCTGGCAGTATTCTCTGGCTCCCCGGAATTGGTATGTCCTCGTAGCCTTGGTGGGGACGCCGTCGCTAACATCCCTTGCGTAGTGGGCTGCGGGAAATCCGTCCTCTGGTGAGTCGATAACGGCAATTTGGACAGGAATCCGTTCTGACTATCAGCAGCTCTACGGTCGTGCAGGACATCGAAAGTCTCTGCAAGGAAGATGCGTCAAAATCCCTGGCATATTGGTACTTTCAGTTCAGTTCTGATAAATCGCAAAGCGTGGACCGTATGATGAGGTCTTTCGTTCGACAACTTAGTCGGACGCCACTTTCACCATCCGTCAGCGCAACCTGGGAGGAGCATAGCAGGAAAGGAAGCCAACCGGACCGCAAAACGACAATGAGCATGCTCGACGGCGTACTATCAAGCCTACCCGGAGACGTTTACATTGTTCTTGACGCCCTGGATGAATGTCCACAAGAGCCGAGCCGCCGGGAACGAGAAGGGCTTCTGTCTTTGTTGGTCAGTATTGCCGAACGGTACAAGGAAAACATTCATATATTGGCCACAAGTCGGCCAGAGCAGGATATAAGCCAGACAATGAAGAGATTTCCGTCGCTCAACCTGGAGCAGCGACTGGCCAAGGATGTGGAAACTTTTGTCCGCGCCCAGCTCGACGGTGGAAGTCTGCATGATCTGGATGCGAACACGAAGCTGTTGGTAATTGACACTCTATTGCTCTCTCGAGAACGGTATGGCACGCGCATTAGGCCTTTGATCCCTCTTTCGCGGTTCCAGTTACTGATCTTCGTTGTCCAGGCGCTTCCGTTGGGCCGATCTGCAGGTTAAGAGGCTGGAGGATTGTCGAACAGACGACGATATCAAGGACGCATTGCGCACAATCCCAGACTCACTCGAAGCCACCTATCAAACCATTATTGACAATATGGCAAAACGAGATCGGTCCATCGCACGTGAGATTCTGATTCTCATGTGCTTTTCTGCCGCGCCACTGGATTTGCAAACTGTGGCTGATTCGGTGTCACTCCGGTCTTCAAGTCATGTCATGAAAATCTGTACTACATCATTGCTCAGCACATCAGGTGAAGAGGTTCGATTGGCCCACTTTTCAGTGAAGGAATTCCTGGTCTCGCCAGATGCGGATGAGTGTGATTGCCGTTTCACAGAGGGTGCTGCGAAGGATCACCTGGCGCAGAAGACGGTCAACTGCATTTCCCGCCAGACCGAGGAATTGAAACAAGAAATGGCAATGAAAAAGCCTTTCCTGGCTTATGCTTCCTGTCACTGGCAAGCGCACGTCGCAGCTCTTGGAGATTTCAATCCTCAAAACACGGATCTGTTACGCAAGGTAAATGCCCTGTTCACCGAGCCAACGGTGTACTTCAATTGGTCGCGCATAGCAGACAGTTATGCGATTACCGATGACAACCAATGGAACAAGCTCCGCAGCGAATGCAAGCCAGCTATCTATAGGGCTACTGAAATGGGGTTAGTAGGGCCCGTGAATGCTCTAGTCGACCAGGGAGCAGACCCTTTGGAATCCTGGAAGAGCTCATGGTGTCCATTAGAACGTGCTGCCCTTGACGGCCGCTTGAAGATAGTGGAGTTGCTTTTGAGGAAGGATCTTACAATCTCCACCGAACTTGGTAAGGATTTGATCGCCCTCGTCAGGCACGATGTGGAAGGAGAACACAGACTGGAAGCCGTTCTGAAGGCCTTGTTGGACCTGGGGTTTCTACAAGATACAACACAAGGCTCCAGCGAGTCTATATCAGAGGACATCGTTCGTCGCGCGATGTTAAATCAAGATTCAGGATTGTTAATCCTAAATATCTTGCTCGATTGGCGAGATAAGGGTCTGGTATCCGTACCCATCACTGGCAACATTATACGGTGCGCCGTCGTTTTTTCAAGACCCGCAGAGGAAATTCTTGATTTGCTCTTTGAAAGATCTCAGGAGGAGCCCTATATTTCCCCTACCATGTTTATCGACACGGGAGGGCTGCCGTTAGTCTTTGACGGCATCGCTGCTCTTGCACGGCGGCGACCGACTAAGCTTCCTCTCTCGGGCGCCCTTCTGGAAGGAATGGCCATGAAGTGTGACTCTGCCACCATGGATACCCTGCTTCGGGCTCGTCCCGAAATCAAAGTGACAGAGAGGATGTTGCTGGCTGCTGCACAAAATTACCTGGGTGTAGATATGCTTAAGTTGCTATGGCCTCTTCGGGAACCCGGTGCATCGATTACCGAGGATGTCCTGGCTAGCGCCGCAAGGAGCAGATCATCCATTATCTTAGGATTCCTAATCCATGAACTTGGACCGCCTATTCGGTTGACCGAAAAAGTTATGGAATGTATCATAGGGAACTGGGAGTGTGGGTTGTCCATGATGGAGATGATCCTGGGAGACCCGCGCGTCACATTCGAGGTGTCCGAGCTGTTAATTTCAATTGCTGCTTCGACAACCCAAGCTCCGCTAGAAATGCTAGACATGCTAGTCAAGAATAGCGAGGTCGAAGTGAGGATTACCGAGGACATAGTATGCGCAGCTGCAGGAAATATCAACCACGCATCATCTGTCCTTGAATATCTCTCCCACCTAGAGGCCCATCCCCTCCCTGTTACCGAGAATGTAGTCATAGCTGCGATTCGGAGCGAGAAGACTCTAGAAATACTGATCGAAAAATTTCCTGATGCTCCCATCACTGATCGTGTTTTTCTCGAGGCTTGTTTATATGCCGACCGGATGCGCCTGCTTCTAGACCAACCTCATGCTGATCTCCCAATTGAGAAAATGCTGAAGAAGCTTTCCACCGGCGATCGAGCTTCTTCCGAGGTGCTTGACCTGCTGTTTGAACGAAACTTTCTGACTGTCAATGAACAGCTGGTGGAAACCTTGGCCGGAAGCTATCGGTCGTTGAATACACTGTTTAATCAAAGACCAGATGCTCCAATCACGGAAAGAGCGGTATCTCAAGCGGCCCAAGATCCCCGATCGATACGTCTATTGTTGGACAAGCGGCCCAGCGACGTCAAAATCACGGAGCAGGTTATGATTTCTACGACCAGGTCAGAATACTGCATGGAGATTATCCAAGCCATCTCATATCGCACGGGATCAGTTCCTATCACCGAGAGACTCTTCCGAGAGGCCATGAGCTTTGGCCAGACCGACGTGTTGAAATGGATGCTTGCCCAGCGGCCGGATATGAACATGACCGTTGAAAGCCTCTTTCAGGAAGTTTGGCAGGATAGCAGTCTACATTGCGAAAACAGGCTTGCTATGTTGATGGTACTGTACAGCCATTCGGGAGTGCCAGAAATTTCGGTATCTTTGCTCGAGAATTACCCATATAGTGCAGAGAATAAGGAAAACTATGACTTCGATAAGTTTGTCGAAGCGTTTTGGGACCTAGAGGTGCCCGGAAGCGAACGAGTGGCTGAGATTATCTTTGAACGATGCAATGTTCCAACGGTGCAGGAGTTCTTGGAAGACAGGCCTAAACTAACGATCACAGACTCCCTGGTTCAGGCTGCTGAGAAAAATGTCATAGCAGATAGAGAGGCTCTGATGTCGCTCCTGGAGAAAAGAAAGTAAAGCTAGAAACGTCACAGGTTGGCAAGACCAGCTCACAGATATCAGAACGCTTGGCACGATCCGTATGTAGATAGCCACAAATGTACATATTCCCATCGGAACCGCACTGGTTTGTTTCGGTAGAAGGTTCATGCTATTGTCTAAGCTTTTGACTAGCCGCCTGATCCTATTTGATATTGTTCCTTGCCTACTGACAATACCATGTGGTGCCTGTCTCGCCAGCCAACCGGCTCATAGTACCCTTCTGTTGAACATAAGGATCTTGCAGGTTAGAAGGTGACATTTGATTTGGTCCGAATGCCGAGGTAGGACCCAGTTGGCGGTACACCGAGGAATGATTTGTGATAATCGCGGGCAACAACCTGAAACAACGGTTGTAAGAGGCCAGATTCATTGGAGAAGTGACCACCCCCTGTCAAGATTCACCTGGTGTAGCCACTTTATTGATGTAATTCCAAGACCACTTGCATTGGCTAAAATATATCGGTCGTCCTTTCTGACTGTTATCGGAGTAACGCATGGTTGCATTCTTATTCTCAATGGGTAGTTGTTCCCGTCATTTCCACCCAGTGTATAGAAAGAGTGAAATCTCGAAATTTAATTGTATCATACTCTTCTCCAATTTCCGTTTCCCTTGATTATTTCACCTGTTCTTTGGAACTTTTTACTCTGTATAAAACAGTTATAGATAAATCTTCAGCCTGTCTAGACAAGGTGAAGCTCCTCTCATAGCTTCTGCAACAAGTACAGTAAAGGCACTGACTCTCACTTTCTGTCCTCTCCTCTTCGAACAAGTACAATATAATACACGTATTAATGATAGCCGTTCAATTTAAAGCTTTAGGTTTGCGACAATTAGCATCGGGTACTACTTTCCGAGTGAACATATCCTTCCTGCTCGAAACTCTGGTCAGATAGGACAAGTTGTATTCACGCCGGAAATCTATACCGTTATTAATGATAACTTGTATGTCCCTATATTAAGTAAAGTCCAGTACCAGATTGTTGTCTTGGGAAATGCGCCAACGTCTACTTGACTATGTTCTGTTGATGAATTAAAGCTAGCTCTGCCGGGTCAATAAAACCACTCTTACTAGACTGTGACACCTCAGGTAGAGTATTAGAAACTTGGATAGGATTTCAAGAGAAAGGTGTTATAAGATACCCGTTGCGACTGGGTCAGCATGGGGCAAATACAACAACATCGACAGCCTCTCTCAGCAACAGAAACTCAACTATCGCAATAATTTCTGACTTATCGCCACATGTTACCACTCTACTCAGCATGAGTAAAGCTTAATAATTGCCAAATTCTAATTATAAATGATGTAGATAATGAATCGCAAATAGTAGAAGCTCTAGTGTATCGGAGCCTCGCCTTCTCATCTGACTGTACTTGTACATTTATATTCCACTTCATCATCTTTCGTCCTAGCTGTTGGTTAATTCTGACTTTCCTTTCTTCTCTCAAACTCTCCAAAGTTATCTCGAATCGCGCAATGCCCCCCCCCAAACTAATCTTCGGTGCCGCCTCGTTTGGTATGAATTTTCGCAACCCCAGAACGAGTACAGGATATTCTCAACTTCCTCAAAGGAAACCATATCACCCATCTTGACACCGCCGGTATATGTCCTCCAAACTACCCCGGATGCTAAGAAGAGCTTCTAGGTGAAGTCTACGCTGCATCTCAGGGATTCACTATCGACACCAAGGTTCTAGCACAGTCTGAGGGAAATCGCGGTGGGATGAGGAGAGATGTTGTCGAACCGTCCCTTAGGACAAGTCCCAGACGGATGGGGGTTGAGCGGGTATGTCATGTGTGAATGGGACACAGATCACTGATTGACGTGGTTTAGATCAATACACTCAATATACATATGCCAGACCTAGAGATCCCGTTAAAGGAGCAGGCGGAGATGCTGAACTACTTGCACCAACAGGGCAAATTCAAGAAGGTAGCATTTCTTCTGCAGAGTTAATATCTTCGCTTTAGACTGGTGAAGGCTGATCCTTCGCACCTTGGTATCTCCAACTTCCAACTAGAACTACTACAGGAATTTCTCGATATCTGTGAAGCTAATGGCTATTCCAAGCTCACTGTCTACCAAGGCGATTATAGTGTTGTTACCCGAGGCATGGAGAAGAAGCTTCTCCCAATTCTAAGACAGCACGGAATTGCTTACAATGCATTTAGGTACGGACCAACCTAAGTCCTATGTGAATCACCGCTAATAATCGGAACCCTGGTATCGGGCTTTCTGCCCGGGAAACTCATGTATGGCCCGGCTGAAGGCACCCGCTTCGATGCCAGTAGTCCAATAGGCAAGCTTATGCAGAGTATATACAACCAAGAACCTTTGTATAATACCCTCAGGAGGAATGTGTCAAGGTGGTTGAAGATATTTGGAGAGAGCTAGAGCTGATTCGGGGAGATTCCCTAAGCGACTTAGAATCCCATCTGCGAGAGCTTATTGGCGTTGAATGGATTGTATATGTATTTTATTACTGTTTGACACTATATCCTATATAAACTAGATAGCTATATTCTATAGATATGGCAGGGAAGAATCGTCTTGTTGCCCGTTTTATTGAAACAAACTTACTTTATAAATTTGGACTTCAGGGCTTGATTATAGCAATCATGAACGGGTCGATAGGAGGCGTGGTTTCCATCCATTTGGACGATTCAGAATGTTGAGGAACTTACCCCTGTTGGGAAATTGTGCCGCTCTTATGTTTCATCATTCTCGCAGATCACCGAGACTGGCAGTTTCCCTTCAATACAATCTAATTGTCTCACAATGATACTCTGCCAAGTAAGGTCCCACTTGAACAGGATGCCAATCCCTTCGTATCATACCACACCAAGATCACGGCTTGCCGTTTGACTTGCTCTAATTGTTCCATCATGACTGAATGCCGACTCGAGCATTGCTTGGGAAAAATTCCCTTCACATTACTATAAATGCCTAGATTGCCAGTTAATCATACCCTTTTACATGCACATGTCACTCGAGGCAAGAAAATAATTTGTGAGATGAAAGTCCAAACTGATCAGCGAGTAGGGCTCCTCTTCTGGGCCTTACTCTGTGCCCTGACGCAGGCATGCCCACTTTCTTCCTCTTCAGATTCCATGCTCACGCTTGAGACTCGGTCACCATTCCAGAGTTATTCTCCTCGTGCTATTAACTCACGTGCTGGAACTGACTCCTGTAAACTCAAACCGACATCAGCCGATCTCAGCGAGGGCCTCGGTGCGACAGGTCAATCTTTTGCCCCAAGCACAGGCACCCTCAACGCCTATATGATTTTCGTTGACTTCCCTGATGCACCAGCCCCAGATGCTACTGACGAGTTACATCAGCTCTTCGTTCCTGGTGCACCAGACTGGTACAGGAACTCCTCCTTTGGTCAACTCAGTCTCAATATCACTGCCGACACTTCCCGCTTCTACCGCATGCCCAACCCGTCCACCTCCTATCCATATGACCGGGGCATCACCGCAGAGCTCCAAGAACAGTACATCCAAGACGCACTCGACTCAGTCGGCCAAGCCATTGACTTCAGCGGCACTCATGTTCTCTATATCGTCCCGACAAAGGCAGCCAAGCATATCTCGTTCTCGCCTACCTACATGGGTGATCTCACTGCGGGTGATGGAACTGTGATCAGTAAAACTGTCACCTTCGGCCAGGACGCTCCCGACTCATGGGGATTTCTAGTCATGAATCACGAGACCGGACACACTATGGGACTGCCGGATTTGTACCCCTCGGACGACTCCAGTACCACTCTGTATGTTGGCGGTCATGATATTATGGGCTTAATCAGTGGTGGGCTTCCGGATTACTTTGCATGGCATAAGTGGAAACTAGGATGGTTTTCCGACGAGCAATTTGATTGTGTGGATGGTGCTGGATCGACAACTCACACCATTACTCCTGTCGGAACCAAGGATGGCGTTAAGGCAGTCGTCGTGAAACGGGATGAAACTACTGCTATTATCGCTGAGGTGAGGGCTAAGGAGGGCGCGGATATCAAGGCTTGCAGTACAGGAGTCCTTGTCTACACGGTGTCAACGTCCACTGCGTCCGGTCAAGGCCCAATTCGCGTTCACGATGCGACCCCGAATTCTGGCGGATGTGATGGGGAGGAATTGAATGATGCCCATTTCACAACTGAGGCAGGCCGGGAAGTCTTCGTTTCAGATGATGGAGTCAAAATCACTGTGGTTTCTCAGAATGGGAGTGATTATACCGTCCAAGTTGAGGTCATTTGATTACCGTTTACGGTGGCTATGGATTCTATGTGAGTCCATGAGACTCTTCTCTTGTCAGATTCATTTCGTATTTCTTATTCGGATAGTACTATTTAGAACAGTAGATCTTTCTTTGTATGGTCCAGGCTGTGGGCTACCTACGTTTGTTCCCATTCCTACCAGACTACAGTCTTGAATATTGTTTTATTTCATAAGAACAGAGTCTATAGCTCCATTTGCCTTGATATTTGAAAATCCACAAGAAACTCTGGAAATGGATATATACTAAGAATACTTGAGCTAAGTCCTGCGTCTACTTGAGATAAATCAGTTCAAACAGGATATCTCCTGCAAAGAATACTGTGAACTTTATCGATTCTCACTACAGTGCTTTCAGGGAGAAGGGTTAAACAGGAGACATCTCATCCAGTAACTTCATCTATCAAACACCAGGGTCCCTTACCTATGGGTGACGTACTAGGTTCAACCTGTAAATTACAGACACTAATCTAGAATCCACCTAATAAACTGACCGCGGCTGTGATCATAAGTCTGGAGAGCGAGAGAATTCCCCAGCTCGAGAACATTCGAAGTCTCCTTAAGACACCTACCTTCCTTCACTTGGCCAGAAGAGGCAACTCCCCAGGACATAGATATCCCTTTGTCATGAGTAAGTACCATCGGTGTTCAAAAAGGCAATTACACTACAGAAAAAGGCCTGGATCTAATGTCAATCCGCCCTGGCGACCCACAGCAAATCCCGAGCAGGTGTAATCAGAATCCTGCTTTCGGCCCATGATTCAGAGCGCGTTCCTGAGTCCTATAAGCGAGTTTAATAAGCTTAATAGTGGCGGGATAAATAACTCACCGATTGTATGATTTTCCAATTGTAGAGAATTTAAGGATAGAGCAAAACCTGTTCGAATTCTCGCACTTCAGTACATAAATCTATTCCAGAAAATCTGCACTCCAATTCACACAGTGAAATCCATTTACCTCGTTATCGGTGCATCTCGTGGCATCGAGCTCGTCAATTAAATCAAGATTCCTCCAAGCGTGTCGTCGCTACAGTACGAAACGAAGTTCCATCCTCTGCTCCAACGATGGCCCTGAAACCCTGATTCTCGACCAAAATTACACCAACTCTGTCTGTCGATCCAAAGTGGGCATCCTCGGCTTGGGATAACCCGAAAGAATAATCGAAGATTATCCTGAAACACATCTCCACTAGGTCAGTGCAGTGGGAACTAAGACATTCCTTCCCCACTGATCATAATAGTATACTAGAGCCTTAACTGTGTTCGATACAGTAATACATCACGCCCTACACGCTACGCCCGACATGTGACCATGCTCAGATGGCATCTATAGATCTTCTGGTAAAGACCAAGCGTTCCCTTCACCTTACCCATAAAGATCGAGTAGCTTGGAACCCTTTTATAGCCTACGTAGCTTAATAGCTTGATTGAGTAACGAGGTATATCCAACCCAATAAAGTACCATCATGCCTCGGATTTTCATGTAAGAAAAGACATGTCTGTTCTGGCCTCGACAGTGCTTCAACGTGGGAAAGGCATTCAAGTGGGCGAGAGGAAGAATATCTGGCACTCGGTTCACGTCCACGATCTCAGTGAGGTTTATCTGGCGCAAGTGGAAGCGGCGGTGGCTAGTGCTGAAGCCGCGACTTGGGGTAAAGAACGGTATTATCTAGTTGAGAACGGCCACTTTGTCTGGGGAGAGGCGCAATTAGCTATTGCGAGGGTTGAATATGAGAAGGGCATGATCGAGACATGCAAGCTCGATGTGCTAGACTTTGAACAAACAGCCTGGGAGCATATGAAGGGGCCATATCGATGGGATCGAACTCAAGGGGTGATGCAATTCACGTGAGACAACTTCTCAGCTGGAAGCCGGCGCAGTGTGACCTCTTTGCGCTCATTCCGAGTATTGTTGATATCGAAGCAGAGCTGTTGCGGGTAACTGGCCCGTAACCATGTTTATCTCCCTGATACTTTGTCCGATAAGACGTCCATCATTCACTTTTGGCAGTCACGTATGGAAGGTCTGCCCGGCCCTTTCCCTACGGGATGGCTCTAAACACTCGCTTGTTTCTGTAGCTCTCTGCACCCTCATCAGACCATCATATAAGATTTACTTGCATTTAGCTTAGTTGGCTCGAGGCCGAATCTTACAATCCTATAAATCTACTGACGAATACCGAATAGTGAAGTGCGTTCTTGATTAAATAATAGTTCTCACAGTTCCCAGCCTTTGAATAGTCCATGGTGGGCCGGTCACCTTTATCGTTTAGCAAATAAAAGTGGATTTCCAAATTTTCATTGATATATTGAAGATGGAGATAAAGTATAGAGTAGACGACATTTTGTATTACCTAGCAGGACCGTCATTGCGACGTCTTAGAGCTGCCTGAACACTAAGCGACATCCCATATTTGAGAATAACCCGAGACCACTAACCTTCTACAACCTACTACTTTCATCCACAACTTACTCAGTTTTATTTTGAGCGACCAATAAATGCTTTACTGCCATACTATAACTATTGCCATAGCCAATACCATCAAGATGGATGGAGATCGCTCACCAAAGCCCATTATTCCAGAGAAGCGTTGGGGTGATGACGTCGAACAACTTCGGGCACAAGAGAGGGCCCTGAATTCTGATCTCCGAGTTGCAAAAAAGCGAGTAAAAGCCGGCGGGTCATTCAACGCAGCTTTCTGGGCGCAATCGGTGGCAGCCGAGGAAGTGACTCTGAAAAGGGCTCAGGTAGAGCGCAAAATTTCCTTGGGAATGTTCAAAGGAACGGAGGCGGAGTGGGAGAAGACCGAAGAGGCTAAGCGGCTATTTGAAGAAATCCGTTCGCGAGAAGTGACAAGGAAGTTGGCAAGGAAGCGACAAGAAGATCTAGAAGAAATTTCAAAGGGAAGGACGTTACGAGCCAGCTTTATGAAGCTGTTTACAACTAGTAAAATGGGCCTGGGGATTGCAGATACCGGAGCCGGGAAACGAGATCGTTCAGCCCAGACCAAATTTCGAGCAGATATGGTCGAGAGATATGGGGCGCAACACCCCGAGGAGAGTTTCATCTGGTGTCCTATTTTCGGACAATGGCTCAGTGCTGAGGGAGTCACTGCCGCTCATTTATTTGCGTGGATGCATGGACAAGACACAATGGATGGAGTTTTCGGCAAAACCAGCGAACCAGAACTTTTCTCCCCCCGGAATGGGCTTCTTATCGCATCTGTCATAGAAAAATATTTCGATGACGGAAAGCTAGTTATTGTGCCAGATTTACCAGAACGACCACAGGTGGCCGAGCTTCTCGGGTGGTTAACGGGCGAAGTACGAGAGTACAAGATCAGGATAATCGACATGACGTGGGATAAGCTGGACAGGCAGCCTCTGCCAGAATCGCCGCTCAGGTATAGAGATCTAGATGGGAGGAAACTGCAATTTCGAACATCATTCCGACCAGCAGCCAGGTACCTATACTTTCACTATTGCCTGCAAGTTCTGCGGCGGGCATGGCGGTTGAACCAAGACAAGACTGCGGACGTATATCTTCGCGATGACATGGGCAAACCCTTCTGGGGAACCCCTGGGCGCTATCTGCCAAAGAACATGTTGTTAACCTTGGTGGAGGAGCTGGGCCATGACTACAAACACTTGTTAAAGGGGGCATCTTGCAGGAACGGCGAGGAGGATCTTTTACTGGGAGTTGCGACTGCCCAAATCAAATCTAAAGCCACCAGGAGAAGGACGCTCCGGGATTTAGGTTTTGGAGACGAGATATATCTTGATGATAGTGAGTCCGACTCCGACTCCGAGGATGACGATGGGGATGACGATGAGGTTGGTTGTTAGGTTGCGGTTCGTTGGCACTTTCCTTGTTAAGTTTATCTGCGATTGTCACTTGTGGAAAGAGTGTATGTATGTATATGCTAGGTTATTGGTTACGAATGCCATGAACTCCTTTTGCCACATTGAGAATTGTAACTTAAGTCTTACTTTGGCGGTTCTCTCTTCTTTACACAAGATACCGTTTATTATGGTAGGCACCTTGAGCAATAGTAGTTGACCTGGGTTCGTCTTTCGCTTTCTTGCTCTATGATTACCTCGTTCCCAAAAGTTCCACAGTAAGACCTGGATTTACGGCTCCCCAGATAACAGTGGATGTCGGCAAGTTATTATGAGACCGATCTGGTATTCCGTAAGGTCTTTAGGGATGATTAGTGGATATCCAACACGCTTAGGTCAACGTTAGAATGACATGGCTCCATTTCTCTGAGTATTCCTGGTAGGCCTAGAGCTATGCTAAATTTCATTTGATTGATGGCATATATACCTGTGCATAAAACAATTTAGTACATACGACCACAGGGTGTGGAGAACAGGGCTTCCCGTCCGCTCAGCCGTACTTAAGCCACACGCCGGGAGGTTAGTAGTTGGGTGGGTGACCACCAGCGAATCCCTCCTGTTGTATGTTTTTTTCTGTCTTTTTTGTTGAAAGACAGTAAGTACGTAGTAGTAGTACACTTAATGGCAGCAGCATATAACCTCTGAGTCGGTACAATGGCAACTTGCCGACGATTGGCACCCCATACCACAGCACAATATTTACCTGGGTGGAGGGGGTGCAACTGGCGCTCAACTTTCCCCAGGTTTACCCCACGCCGATACAATCTGATTTCGGACGGATTGAACTCTTTGCTGAATTCTGAGGGAGAAAATCCCGTGGGATACAGATGTCGTCAGCTATCCAAAAGTCGCTGCTAGTTTGAAGGATCGCTCGCTCAGTCCGGCTTCGGCAACATAGCCAAGTTGCCGATGATGGGAGACTATATCAATAGCTCCTACCAGTACTCACTCGAGCCATCCTGCCTTCAAACACTTTAATTTATTTATATTACAATACCGATCATTATACTCGACACGATGAGTCAAACCAGCACCTTGGACCGACTTTCAGCGCTCGACACCAACACCGTGTCTGATGCCTTAGATTTCCTCGGCCTCAAAGGAGCCACATACGGCCTGCGACCACTCTGGGACTGTCCCAAGATTGTAGGACGTGCCAGCACAGTGAAAGTAGGCCCCAAAATTGATGCTGCACCCACGACCCATCTTCTCACTCCCGTCATCGATGCGGTAACGACGGATGATCGCATTCTTGTCATCTCTGGCGGCATAGATGGCGTCTCATGCTGGGGAGATATTATTGCCAATGCATCGAAACAGAAGCGTATCCGTGGCACCGTTATCGATGGCATGAGTCGTGACATTGACGGCAGCCGTGAGGTCAGCTATCCTGTTTACGGCCGTGGAGTTACCATGATCAGCGCGCGCAATCGCTTAGTACAGGTCGACTCAGGCACACCACTGCAGGTGCGAGGCGTTACGGTCCAGCAAGATGACTATGTGATCGCCGATCGATGCGGGACAGTGTTTGTCCCGGCTCAGCGCATTGAGGAAGTCTTAGAACTTGGCGAGCGGATCGACCGTCGTCAGGCCCGGATGGTCGAGGCCGTTCGAGCTGGGCACCCCGTGTCTGAGGTTATGCACGACAAGCAATTTGAAGCAATCCGCGAAAATACACCGTCATCAACAGTCGAGCCAGCCGCGCCAGCCTTCAAACGAAACCCCAAGCAACCTAGTGCCGAAGATCAAGAGTTAGTAGCGCTGTTCGCCGATTCAGATACCCCTGGGGTCTCTGACGCGCTTGATAAACTTGGCATTCCTGGACAAGCATTCGGTATTATGCCTTTGACAGATTACAAAAAGGTCACCGTCGGGCCGGCCTTCACTGTTCGTTACATACCCGCCAGCGATCCACCAGGAAGTGTGGGTGATTTCGTCGACGAGGTTGCCGTAGGTGATGTCGTAGTCATCGACAACGGCGGTCGTACAGATTGTACTGTCTGGGGCGATATAATGACTCAGTACGCCGGTTTACGAGATATTGCTGGAACTGTGATCGACGGTGTGTGTCGCGATGTGAACCGTGCTATCGATGACGACTACCCACTCTTCACCGCTGGACGTTGGATGCGGACCGGCAAAGATCGCGTTCAAGTGGGAGGTGTCAATGAGTCGATCGGCATCGGCAAGGTTCGTGTCAGCCCTCGTGACATCGTTGTTGCCGATGCAAACGGTGTCGTTATTGTTCCGCGAGATCGAGCCCGTGAGGTGGCCGAAGTCGCACGAAGTATAGAGAAGAGTGAAGCGGGCATCCGGGCAATGATTGCTGGTGGTGCTACAATCGCCGAGGCGCGAGAGAAGCTTGGTTACCACACTCTGCAGCGGAAGGGGTAATGGTTAGCTAAAGAGAAATCTCCAAGAAGTTGTTGAAGACGAAACGGCATGGTGAGCATAACTGGTCGGGGGACAGAATGTCCTACGAGATCATTACGAAAATCATACTTGTTAATATATAAACTGTGGCGAGACATACAAGCTAAGCGCAGTATTCATTGAGTTCATATAATCCATCAAGGTGTCAAATGTTAAAGAAGATTTTTGAGATCTGAGATTGAGTCTATATACCTTATACACTTTGCGTGACAGAGACGCCTCGTTCCACCTACACAAGACAACCCTATCTCCATAGTACATACACAGCCCGATTGTCATAGAATTCTTCCATTTGATAACTGCGAGAACTGGGAAGAGGACAATTACTATAAGATATTCTTAATTCTCTACCTAAGGTACTCTATTGTCGGGCAAACAGCAATGATTAGTATCGCTGTCTCCAGTTATCTTATACATCTCTGTCTAAAGGATGATTAAAATAAGAGCCAACCATCCAAGTCCCTAGGATGGTTGACTAGGAAGGTCGCGAAATATGGTGTTATGCTTTGCATAAGCTTGTATACTATTATCGACGCTTAGTTATTCAGGATAACTAACTAGTTAGCCAGTTGATTACAAATCAGATTAGGGACCCCCGGAAGCTTCCGGTGATAAAGACGCGGGGTGGATGCTGCCATTCATCTCCAACTGAACAGAAATTCAGAACAATGAAGGAAGTTGTTGTCGACAAAGCAGTCACTGTCACGATCCGTGATGTTGACATTCCCGTCGTGAAGCCTGGCCAAGTGTTGATCAAGGTGGTTGTATCTGGTACTAACCCAAAAGATTGGAAATTGCCAACATGGCTGCCAGATGCACCTGCTGCGAACCAGGGTGATGATATTGCTGGCTACATTGAGGCTGTTGGGGAGGGAGTTCTAAATTTCAGGAAGGGCGATAGGGTGGCCGCTTTCCATGAGATGCTTACATCTGGGGGCAGCTATGCAGAGTATGCGATTGCCTGGGCCCACACGACCTTCCACCTGCCCGAGAAAACCAGCTTTGAAGGTCTGAGGGATCTTATCTACTTGCTTTTGTACTCCAATTAACATCAAACAGAGGCTGCCACGGTTCCTCTCGCTGCCATGACGTCAGCTATTGGACTTTTTCAGGAGCTGAATTTGCCGCTTCCTTGGAATCCTGCAACGGAGTCGCTGCCTCTAGTTGTGTATGGAGGTTCTTCAGCTGTAGGAGCTTTCGCGATCAAATTGGCTCGTCTCTCAAACATCCACCCTATCATCGCAGTGGCCGGCAAAGGTGCCTCGTACGTCGAAACTCTGATTGACCGCTCCAAGGGCGATACGATCATCGACTACCGTGAAGGGGATGAAGCAGTTCGCAAAAACATCAAATCTGCTGCTGATGGCCTGCCAATTCACTATGCATATGACGCGGTCTCCGAGAAGGGGTCCTACCATAACCTAGGCGCAGTGCTTACTGCACCGGCGAAGATCACTGTGGTCCTCCCAGGAATCGATTCCAAGGAAATCCCCGAGGGAGTCCGGTTGTCGACCACAAACGTTGGGTCAGTTCACCAACCTGCAGCCGCAGGAAAGACGGTCGGTAACATCGAGTTTGGTGCTGCATTCTTCGCCCTTTTCGGGAGGGGATTGGGCCAGGGTTGGTTCACGGGCCATCCTTACGAGGTGCGCCCCAATGGACTGGCCGGACTTGAAGGAGCATTGAAAGACTTGCAAGCTGGCAATGCTTCAGCGGTAAAGTATGTTGTGCGTATCGCCGAGACACCAGGACTGTAGGGGGCGCAATGAATTGACCTCGGCGGAGGCCGTCGGCATTCGTACAATTTGTCTTCAAGAACGATTAAATAGTTAATACTAGCCTATACAGACTAGACTGAAAGGGAAAGAAAGAAACAAACATAAGATATTAAAGGATTCAACATGGAAATACCTATAGTAGTCCGCAGGTTGGGCTTGGGTTAATTTTTCTAACAGGTCAATCAACCTAAATCTAATCTTAATCTATAGCAATATTAGTTCTACCTAAGTTATTGATTCTCTACTAATGCTTGTACTAAGTTTCATAGTATAGCTTCCATAGACTAATTTATTTGCAGTTAAACTCAGATATTTCAGATTTAATTCAATCAATTTATTTATATGAATGAGAGAGCGTGTGCCCAGGAAGGGATGCTTTCCGCTAGATCTGACCCTACGTTAAATCTGCCCGGATCGCATGGTTTCGCACCTATATAGCTACGCCGTGACAAAAGATATAAATCCAAGCCTATTTAGAAAGGCAATTTAGTATGACTTGTAAGAATACCGCCGAGTTAGTTAGTTTTAGCATTAGAAGTATCACATTTATGGCCCACAGACCATCTTGGAGGACTTTCGCCGAGACCCGCTAGAAATGTTCGGCGGGATCTTTTCATTTTGCCGTCGGCATAGAACTATTTTCCCGATACTAAAAACTGAATATCTCAATTGCTCTCCCATACTGTGAATGTAAGTACTATAATTGTAGTCTAGAGTTCTTCTCGAGTTCAGTATCGCTGTCTAGTCTATCATCAACTTACTTTGCTTCTTTCTTTGTATTCCAACACTATCCTTTCTAAACGCCTTCGTAACAGCTGTCTTAGGGCTTCGATCGATCCATCACAGAACACGCAAAGCGCAACATGTCATATACATCATCCATAACAACCGCGATTCACAACCCGCGGTTACGCCTTCTCAATGCTCTGCGAGGAAACTCGAAGCCTATTATGACTTTCTTGGGACTTCCGTCCTTTCGCACAGCCCAAATCGTAGCTCAGACCGGTGTTGATGTAAGCATTTCCCTTTTTTCCGTAGTTTAATTCTCAGCTGATAATAGTAAAGGGCATCATCATCGACTGTGAGCATGGCCATATAAGCGACGATTCCATGCACAGCTCGACTGCTGCTATAGCTTCTTTGGGAGTCTCGCCGCTGGTCCGTCTCAGAATGACTCACGCAGATTTGATTAAAAGAGCTTTGGATGCTGGTGCACAGTAAGTGACATACCAACCCTAGCATTCCAGTACTGAAATGGTTACAAGCGGCATCGTGGTGCCCCAGATAAATACAGCGGAAGAAGCCAGGGCCGTTGTCTCACATGCAAAATTCCCTCCCCAGGGGCTTCGAGGGCAAGGCTCTGCATTTCCAACTATTGCTCACGGCGTCGACATGCCGACATATATGAAAACTGCGAACGAGACGCTCATTACCTGTGTTCAGATTGAATCGAAAGCAGGGGTCGAGAATGTTGATGCCATCTGTGCTGTTCCTGGTGTTGGTTAGTGATTGACCCCACAGACTCTAAATATGGTATTGCTAATTTCCGGCAAGATATGATTTTCATCGGTCCGAATGATCTTGCCCTATCACTCCTTGGGTATGTTCCTGCAAAAGGCACTGAGCCGGAGTTTGTCGCTGCTATCGACAAGATCGTGGCAGCGGCCAGAAAGCATGGTAAATGGGTCAGCCGATTATCGAACGATGGAGCTTTGTGCAAGAAACATCTGAAAGTATTTGATACTGTGGCAATGAGTTACGATGTTAGGGCCATTCAAAATTGGTATACCACTGAGTTGCAAGTTGCGCGCTCGTGAGTGATTGCAGGGTAGAGGAGTAACACATACTTTTGCATTCCAGTCACCTTGTGTTCTGTGTCCTTATATATACACTGGCTTGGAGCAAGGACAAGGTATTATTTGATATGTGGAAGGGGATCCAAGTTTAAGTTGTTATTTTGCAGTTGGGATCAGGACATATAAGACTCTTGCGGAGGTCTATTCATACAAACATCCGCCTGTGATGAATCCGCAACGCAAGCCTGCCACGAATTGGAGCTCATATTGATATCTAGGGTACATATAGCTGCTAGAGATGATATAAATAGCGGTTTTAGATAATTCATTTAGATTTGGCAGTGTAGGTCTATCCGTATCTGTAAATCTGTAGATATTAAAACCACCTCAGAGGGTCGCTGGGCAGACACCGCGACAATTCACATTTCGCTAAACCCTTATGTCGTATAAAATTTACTTTCTAATAATTCTAGATCTAAAATATATAAGTTCCACTGCTCAATTTCTAGATGGTCCAATAATTGGTAATAACCCTAATACAATTAGCGGGTGGCCAAAAATGACGTCCTTCATCTAAACGTCCTTTTGAGTACCCCGCGGAGTAAGAATTTAGGAGTAGATCCAACCACATTAATTTAATCACCACAAACCCATACACCTACCAGAGTGCACGAGATTATGATATCCTTTTCAATTGGACGGGTTGTATGGGGCTAGTATACGTAGTGGGCACCGGTGAAGGTCAATAACTGGGGCGGCGGGTTTTTTTTTTTTTTTTTTTTTTTTTTTCCTCCCCGCCGACCCGCACTTTTCCCAGACACTTGACCTCCATAACTGTTCGAGAATTGGTTCGCAATCCAGCAACATATTAACCTACGCGCGATATCATTACACAATGCCTGATAAGGATGCTGGTACACCCCGTGTCTTCCTCTACCGACACGGTATGTTCGAATAGAGTAGAAATAGTCACCTTGGGGTCTTATACTGACCCCGATACCAGGGCAGACGGAGTGGTCCAAGAACGGCCGGTACACCGGTGTTACTGAACTGGAACTCACGGAAGATGGCGAGAAGCAAGTCCTTGCCTCTGGCAAGATGATTGTTGGATCGGGCAAGCTGATTGACCCGGCCCACCTGGCGCATGTCTATATTAGTCCTCGGAAGCGGGCGATGCAGACTTTCGAGATTGCTTTCTCTGATGTTGCTAAGCAGGATCTGAGAGATGCAAACAAAGTCAGTGAGACTGACAGACTGGCTGAGTGGGGTTACGGTCTTTACGAAGGACTGGTGACGAAGGAGATCCGGGCCCTGCGCAAAGAGCACGGTCTCGATACCGAGCAGGAATGGGATATCTGGCGCGACGGCTGTGAGGATGGGGAGTAAGTCTTACCTCCATGTGACTAGAGTAACTGGGTTTCTATTTGCCACAACCATGTTTAACCGGGTTAATTAGGTCTCCTCAAGAGGTCACGGACCGCATTGACGATCTCATTAAAGAGATCCGTGAGCTCCACAAAGACAACATGCACGGCGAGAAGCATTGCGATGTGCTACTCGTTGCTCATGGCCATTTGCTTCGTGCCTTTACCAAGCGCTGGCTTGGATACCCCATGGAGTTTCCTCTTTCCATGATGCTCGAGCCTGGTGCCGTTGGTGTTTTGAGGTACGAAATATTTTCACTCGCCGTTGGCCATCATCTAGTTTACATTATCTGACAATTGCACAGCTACCAACACCATAGCATTGATGAGCCTGCCCTGATGGTTGGATACGGATTCCCATTGGAGGGATAGTTGGACACCTTTAGATTGTATAGACCTTGCGGTATAGAGAAATGAAAGACATGACACAAATTTCGCTCACAGTAGGGGGTCTATATTTCATATTGTTAGATCACAGCTCAAAGTACGTCCTCTGGCATGATCCGAACCTGCCAGTCTCTTTTCCGAGCGACCTGCTGCACATCCGAATGCCCGATGCTTGTAAATAGGACTACGGGTATCATCGCGGCCAAAATATAAGTAGCAGGGATTTAAATAGATATTAGGTTTTTCTCTATCCAAAATCACATTTGGGTCTAGGATGATAGAAATCTTCATAGTCCGTTATTTTCGAAACTCAGACCCACAACCTGCAGGTCACCAATCAATCAAAATCATCTATGAATTTCACCACACAGACTGCACAGTCTTTGTGGACAGTCTGGAGAGTCTCTCCTCACTAAATCTAAAACATTCAGGCAAACCGGTATCATCCCACTCCTTTCCAAGCATGATTTTGGTAACACCCGGTGCACAAGTAAATATACGTGCCATTCCTGTTATATTCAGCGCTGAGCCCATTTTCACAAAAAGGCAGAGTTCAGACTTACCATGCCCATTAAACCCAGCACATATATATTGTCCTGGCAGAGATTCAATTGCCCCAACGAACGGCACGGAGTCGGTCGTCATGGCGATTATTCCAGTCCAAGCATGATCCAGACCCTCCCCATGCACGGCACTCGCGCTATCAAACTCGGGAAATATCTTGTTAAAGCTTTGGAGAGCATCTTGGACTATCTCCTCGTTGTAGCTCGTATCGTCTGTACTATAGACGCTAGCCCGTGTTTCCACGCTGAGGGTAGGGTTCGATCGCGATACACCCAGGACGAGTGTACCATCATTCTGCCTTTGAATTAAAGAGTAGAAATGATGTAGACTATAACGCAGCGAAAAGGTTTTCAGAAGGGCATTCTCTGCTGCAAATGAGGGCGTTGGGATCAAGCTATGCGCCTGAGCGCGGTTCGGCTGGATATAGGGCTCCAGATGTGGCAGCAAAAGTGCTGCATGAGCGTTCGTACAGTGGACCACCCGTTCCGCTGTCACGGCTCCTCGCGGAGTATGCACATCCCAGAGCTCCGACTCCGACTCGTTGCGCTTTAGTTCAGTAGCTGGACAAAACGTGAACAACTTCCCCCCGCGAGATACAACCGCCTGGAGGAGAAACTGTGCGAGCTTCGCTGGATGACTGGATCCAGCTGGCCACTCGTATGCTGCGACGGCGCCTTTGACTTTTGTCCTTGTTTGCGCCTCTTGGCCTTCATAGAACTTGATGTGTGAGACATCGCCTCCTGCGTTCTTGTACGCGTTGAAGCTTTCGGCTTCATACGTTGCAAACTCGGGCGTCATGCATACGTCGAATGTTGTGGTCAGGTTGAAATCGCACTGGACTCCGTATTTCTTGGTAAATTCATCAACCTTCTCGAGGACGAGGCGCTCGTTGGCAATTATCTTTAGAGCTTGTTCCTCGCCATGGACCTTTGCATATGCACTGAATCCTCGGAATGCATCTATCGGTTGATTAGAATGGAGGAGTTAAAATGACATCGCAATATAGATGCGAACCTGGTCGTACGTGTCCTGCATTTCGCGAGCTTGCACCACTGGCTGCTTCCCGCGCCTCGAGTATTATGATATCCTCTCCTTTGACACCAGCCTCGATAAGTTCGAACGCTGTAAGGCCACCGGAGATCCCAGAGCCAATAACTACATACTTGGACCTAGAAGGAACAGGTGCGTCTCGATTCGCATCTAGCAGGGGAAATGCACGGGTCGTTCGCTGCCAGAAACTGAGGCAGGGGGCTCTGTTAGGTAACCTTCTGCTGGACCCATCTCGAGACGAAGATGATCTGGTTAATAGAAATTCGATTGATTGATTGATTGACATGGTTGTGTGAATGTAGACAAATGTCGTAAATATAAATTGTGCTGAGGCTGTGCGAACGTTGAGATACTAATGCTTAGTCAAGAGTAGTTTCTTACGTGGTAGCTTCGCGGATATCCAGTAGAAACTTTGGAGATATTGTATATACTGCGATAACAGCCGCGACTAGATCGATTAGTACAAGAGTTTTGTCATCATCTCAAATACGTGTTAAAGTGGGAACTTAGGATTACACTTGAGAGTTCGATGATCGGGTCGGGGTATCGCTTGGACCTGCACAGGCACAGCGCACCGTGCACGCTAATAACAGTGACTGAGCGGGGTATCCAACTCACGAATGATATGTAACTAAACGTTTCGGTGGATAAGTTTCCCTAAATTGTACATGTTGATATGTATCATCCAGTTTTCCGCGTTCTGACATGGTTGGTTAATAACAATGCCAGCCCTAACCCAGGGTGCCAGACTAGTCACGTGGTTTACCAGTTCATACCGTCGTCATCACTGACATAGTGTACCTACTATTTGCCCACTTTGACGTCCCGATGTCCTGTCACATGATCATAGGCAACACATATGTTTGATACCTGGTCCCTGTCCCTTGCCTCTCTCCTACTCACGTATGGATAGCGCAGATCTGCTTTGATACCTCATAATACTAGGTAGGCCTGCAGCCAAGGGTCAGAGAGCGAGGTTTGGTTCTACAGCAACGGCCGAACATCGTGTAATTCTCGTGAATCACACATCACACTTACTGATGAACGCTTTAGGGAGCACATTTCATACCTTTATGTGAGACTATACAGACTTCTGCTGGGTCTTCGGTGCATCTTTCGGCAATGGCCTGTTTACCAGATATTCATATTGGACAATCTGTATGCGCACTGTGCAAACAAACTCCAACAGTTGGATCACATATCCTTGGTGCGTCCTCCCTTGTCTCATGGCTTGTGTCCGTCTCATCTAATGTATATACAGACCTAGCTCAAAACTCGCTCACAATCCCTGAGTGTCGAGATCCGTGCGGGCCCTGTTTACGTTCACCGTACCCATCAGTCTGGTTTCATGCAGCGTGCTACAATGTCTTGGAGAAGAGCTATGAGCCCTCCAAGAAGCCCACCTTTGAAGATTTGGGAAGGTTTGCTGATGCAACCAGACCTACTTATAAATCTCAAAATAAAAAACATGAAGAAACGGCGTCGACTTTAGAAGGGCTCTTCAGCAGATATACAAAAGATATCATACAAGACAGTTTCAGCCAAAGCCTACTTGCCCAATTACCAGCTGAAATCAGGATTATAATTTGCGGGCTTATCACTCCGTGTTGGTACTTAATTGTACTTGGCGAAACCCGTCGACTGATTGAACTGTTAAGAAATAACAGTATACCTCAGTATACACAGCTAAGATTAGCACAAGAGATCTGGATGGCCAGAATTATTTATCACGGAACTTCTTATATAACAAGGCTAAGCGAAAAACCTGTTGAATCAATAGGTAACTCCTATGAATGCCATATAAAGCTGCCTAGTGACATCAATAGAATCATTGTATCATTTGACAGTATTGGTGTACATGGGATACAGTTTTTGGAGCATGGTTCGAACCCTATATCAGACGGGTCACCGTGGTACGAGATTTTTGAAGTGAAAGATTCTCATCTAGAGATCTACGTGAGCCATGATGTATGACTGGTTCCATACCAGAATCAAGGGCGCAGTAACTAACATACCTAGGGTCTTTTTATAAGGGGTATTCATCTCACCTCAAGCGATTTATCCTCTAGGTATCGGATCTGGAGCTCTCCACTCCCACCTACTATTCACCAGTGGAACTTTTACCATCACCCGTGGAACTTCGGCCGTGCTCAAGACAAGCCTCGCTTAGACTACGTCAAATTCGATTCCTATACTCAAGGCCTTATTGTCTGTTGTGCGGATGCTAGAACCATTGGGATTCATGGTTTCTCAGGTACCTCGACGACATTCAAAGACTTTGTCGATTTAATATATCGAAAAAGTAGGAAAGGTTATATCCAGTGGATATACTTTCCATTTAATAGATATGAATACCTTGAAGCAGCTTGGGTCCGGAAGTCTAAAGTTCACCGTGGGCCAGCTTTCTACCCTATTCTAGTTGTAAGACGATCCTCCAGTTTCCTAATACGTTTCTATTACTTACCAGCACAGCTTTGTACGTCTCTAGGAAGAGGTATTACGTTTGGACCTCAATTCCCTACCCATCTCATCAATTATTACGAGTACTATCCTTTAGTTAGGGATGGCGATGGTGCTATCTCAGGGATTTGTCACAACGGACTAGATCCAGCCTCTCAGTATATCTCTGAATTTGGAGTTACTTGCAGTGGCCAGTATCGTATCAAGACCCCAGAGCCTCCGCTTGATACATGTTTTGAACCCCCAATGGTCCCTCCCGGTCGAGGCTCACCAGCATGTACTTGGTATATGACGAAAGCCCCGCTTAAAGGTCTTATAAAGGCGCAGGTCTGCAGAGATAAAGAACAATTGCACTCTCCATGCATAGGTCTTCTGTTATTTTACAGCGACCAACATATTGAATCGCTAGGACAGGTACGGTGGGATTATGACCTAACTCAACAAGTCCTAAAGCCTACATATGTGGAAAAGGGTGTTATCGATGGACGAAATTACATTAAGGATATCTGGAGTGATATAAATCACTCTAAGTTCAATGCGGAAACAGATATATGGCAAAGGCTACCAGAGGATGGCATCATCGTTTGGTGGTTCAGTAAGCTTGATGATAGAATAATCACCTATTCCTAGAAATCTAGGCATTTGCAGTCAATTCAAATGATTTAGAAATCGGTTGTACTTACTCATACTAGTATAATGCTAGGTAGCCTCGGCTGCGCTGCGCAATAACTAAAGTTGATCGGGTTCCCCGCTAAACCAGACCCGAACCCGCCCAGAAGGGTCCAGTGGCATGCAAAAAAATTGAAACCATACATTTATTGCTTAGGCCTTAATATTAAGCATACCAGCTATCTACCCTTATAGCTAACGTCTTGCGCCTTTCTAGGAGCTGTGCTTGAAGGTGTAAATAGACGTGTCTAGGTTCAAGCCCTGGATTTGGTACTAGTGTTGAAATTTGGCGGCAAGGGGCGGGCAGCGTCACTATTGGTGGTCATCGCCGTCGCCGTCTCTTATCACGCTAATTCTTTGATTTCTCCCCGAGGTCACACGTCCAAACACGGCATTGATATGAGTGGTCTTAGTGGAGCTTCGTATCGCAACTACACCACGTGGATCATAAAGATAGGAAGCAATAAATTGGTGAATATTCCTTTCTGAAAGTGGCTCTGGTTCCCTTTGTCGATTTTGTTTCCTCCATCATAGCAATGGTGTCCTTTAAGTTTCGTCGCACGGCGTTGGCAAGGTATCATGTTCGCTCCCCGGATGAAAAAGCGCTTGTTCGACGGCTGGACATATTTCTGTTGACTTTTGGCTGTCTTTCACAAGGTAAGCAATGCAGATAGAAATTCTATAACGCCCCAAGATTAATAATGTACACAGTTATCAAATATTTAGACCAACAGAACATCAACAATGCCTACGTGTCCGGCATGAAAGAAGACCTGAATCTCCTCGGGAATGAGCTGAACCTGTGTGTAAAAGAAGCTATCATGACACTTGAGCATGTCGCTAACTTCTTCAGCTTCACAACGTACTTCAATGCCGCCTACTGCGTCATGCTCATCCCCTCGCAAATCATTCTGACCTACGTCCGACCCAGTTTCTGGTTACCTGGTCTGGAAATCGCCTGGGGCGTTTTAACCGGACTCATCGCTATGTGTAACAGTGCAAAGCAGATATACGTTCTGCGAGTGTTTCTCGGTCTTTGTGAAAGTAGCGCGTGGCCTGGAATGATGACCTTATTTAGTAGGTCATTCCGTTTCCCGTTTTCCTGATATTCGCACCATGCAATTATAAGCCAAGACCAACAGGTTATAGTGTATTGGTACACCCCCACCGAGCTAGCGAAACGCATGGGATTCTATCAATCGTGTCAGGCGGCGGGACAAATGATGTCCGGTGCTTTACAAACTGCCATCACCAACACCATGGAGGGCCACCACGGTCTAGCAGGTTGGCGGTGGCTGTTCGTTATCAACGCCATTATCACTGTGGTGTGGGGACTCTTGGGGTTTTTCATGATTCCTGATCTACCGAACAAGCCAAATCCCCGTGCATTCTGGTTCAAGAAAGTGCACGCCGAACTCTCCATGGAGCGACTGGCACGTAATGGCCGCGCGGAGCCGAAGAGGATGACTTGGGCTGGAGTCAAGCGCACATTTTCTGGCTGGGTAGTCTACTTCATTGCGGTGTTATATATCGCAACCGTTCTAGGAACTTACGGCTACGTCTATTTTTCGCTCTTTCTAAAGGCTCTCAAAAGACCAGACGGCAGTCCAAGATGGAGTGTATCCCAGGTGAACGCGATCCCCATCGGCGGTTCAGCCATCAACGTGGTCTTCGTATGGGTGTGGGCGTTACTCTCCGACTTCCTCGAAACGAGATGGACACTTATCGTCCTCCAAGGCATCATCGGCATTATCCCATGTATCATTATGAGTATCTGGACGCGACATCCTACATCGGTCGACGTATCCGCCGCATACGCATCCTATTTCATCGCACACACCTGCCTCGGCACTGCGCCGCTCATTTTTGCCTGGCTTGCTGACCTTATCCCTCAAGACCCGGAAGCGCGCACTCTCGTCGTCGGTGTTGCGGTCGCTGGATACTATGCCATCTCGGCCTGGTCGCAGGTCCTGGTCTGGCCGGCCTCTCAGGCCCCGTATTATAGGTACGGCTGGCAGAGTGCTCTGGCGTTGTTAGTTCTCGTCATCGTCATGACTTGTATTCTGCGCTTTATTGACGTGCAATACTTGTTGCCGAAACGTGTGGCATTTCAGAATGCCATAGATGCCGAGGTGGTTGCGGGTGGCTCATTGAAGAATGATGAAGAGCGGTCAAGGGATGCGGATCGGAAGATGCCGACTACGAGGGTAGATGAGTAGATTTAGCTTAGCATAAAAATTCCTAGGCATGTTGTATATGTATATAAAAGCGAGTATTCGGACTCCAGTATATTAAGCTTATGTGGCATCATTCTATAGTCCGCACTAGAATACGGTATTCTCACTATGCCATTATGGTTCTAATTCAAAGTCCCTGAGATTGCCGACTAGAGTAAACAATACTAAGCTGTGTGTGTAGTGAAACACCTACCCGCTGGGAAAATGCTACTCTAAACGGAGATTCATGATGTAGACCTTTTATAGCTGGGTTAGTAGACTCATAGGAACACATATGAAGCATCCTGTCTTAGGAACGCCGACAGATACGCCCTTCGAAGGCGATAGGTGCTAGACTCAGCAACCCGATTGAACCGGAAGGCACTAAAGTGACAGCCCAACAATGAAATGATTCCTCTCAAATGTCATTTTGTGTACAGTGGGGGCATGAATGTGTATAAGGAGCTAACTCCTTATATATGTATGGTCTTCACTGTCATATTCCAAATTGAGAGGTGCAAAAACGCGATAGGTCGTACGAGTATGAGACGAATATTTCCAACAACAGACCGAAGGGCGTCGAAGTGGTACCAGTGGCGTTACCATGTACAGTAAAGTAGGCATTCTGCGATGTTGTCAGGTGCTGTCTTTCGACGCTTCATGGGGCCGCTGCCTGTTATTTCATTATTCTAGCAGTATGTTTCAAGTTCCGAAGAAACTAATATCCTTCGATTAGGTGATCGTCCCTCTACTGAACTCTGGGGCGGGGTTCCGTCCGGGAAACATCGTGGACCGGAAATTTCTCCTGCACCTAATCATGTGCCGATATGTTCTTTTTGGATCTGGAAGATCTGCATATAGGTACAGCTCTCATTGTTTGTGTGGTCTGTCTGATTAGGTGGACCTATGAAGAGTGTAGCTCAATATACTGGCTACGGTCTGCCGGCACCGAATAAAGGCCGAAGGTAATCATCGTCTTTATGGCACCACCATGCACGGCACTTCGTGCCAAAGGATGTATGGGCATGGACAGGCTCCAATTCCGGGTTGCCCCAAGGCACTTGCAATATACTCGATAGTTATATCGACGCGTCTGCGTCCACTCTCCTCCGTGGTTGTTGTTTGGGGTGGGCTCCGTGGAGATTACCCACTCCTTATCAACAAATCAGCGCTTATTGTACATATACTGCCACAATTTAGCTGAGGCCCATTGACCCGAAGCCTGCGCCTAGGCTGTCACTCAAAGTGTCATGAGGACTACGTCCCGGGTGATGAGTGATTTTGCCTTGTCAAGACCAGCTATGATCTCGTTATGATTGAATTTTGATCCATTCTACCAGAGATGCATCGAACGAACGGCAGAGACGCACTCTGATCGCGGTATGCAGAACACTCCTCGTCGAGAGGTGGCTGCGCCCCATATCTAGTCACGAGGATTGCCTCGCGGAGCTGGGCAAAGGGATACAAGAATGGGTCTATTCTTTGTTCACATATCAGTTGATTTTCATCTTGATGAGTTGAGATTCAAAGCCTGGATTGATGAGTACTTGAAGCAAAAAGGAAAGAGAGATAGATAGAAAGGAAGGAAGGAAGGAAGGAGAGAGGACAAGAAGTGGTTATAAAAGGCATCATGCATTCAATCCAGCCGCTTGTCGCTGGTTCCTTCAGTGCATGAGAGACGTCATCTCATTAACTGCTCTACTGAATCAGTACATTCATTCCAGCGCCGATATATTCCCCAGTACCAGTAATACTAACCACATAGGATGATCCCGATACGTGAATGGAACTACATAAGGTACGTTGGGTAGTTGAACAACAAGCGAGACATTTCTGCAACATAGCAGTATTCACATATGACTGCAGAATTTCTCAGAATATATTCATGGAACACATTCCCAAGGACTACCCTATACGTATAGTTATGATCATCCGAGTCTCCACAGCGTTGTCACTCCTAAATTCCCAATCGGGAGCATATTCCATGACATCACGTGTTCCCTCTTGACAATCGAAAGGAAGCAGCAATTCGCCATCATTTGCTCCTATTGAGGTCAGATCATATTCGAGATTGCTAAAATCTAAGACAAACCCCTGATCGACATTGAGCACAAAGCAGAACCACCAGCCCACTCATGGTCTCCAACGTGCGATCTATTACTTCATGGCCCACACTAAAAACAAACTAGGGGGTGCCGGCTCAAGTGCTAGCAAGACATGCGCAGCGGAATCACATAGCCTCGAATTACACTACCTGTATTACTTCAATGTCCTAAACCGATTGCACTGCCTAGATTGCTTGAACTGAATGGATTTAATTGATTGCACTGCCTAGATAGTCTGAATTGTCGTCGGGTTGATTATGTAAGATGAAGCAGAAAGGAGCGTCACTCTTAAATTCTTGTCCAATCAAAATCCAGATCCTTTTACGCAGCCTCCTCGATTGGACGGAGAGATGGCGAGCTGGCCAATCATATCATTGTCGCGGGGTTTGCCTACTACTGTAAGGACTCCAGAATACATACCCTTATTGCTTGCTTCGGCTTCGCTCCTCTGTGCAATAAACCCCCGGAAAGGAAGTGATTGACCACCCAACTCGGCATTTAATCAGCTACGCTGCTCAAAAATGGAGAAAGCCGGCGAGCCATCGCACAGCGGAATGAACATCGAATTAACACACTACATGTCATCCCAGCCACCAAATGAAATCAGATTTTCTGCACAAATGAGATAAGAAAGGAGTGCGTTCCCTTGCATGACGCTAGTCTGGATTTCAAATTTTGATGAT